AAAAAAAATCAAATTGAATCAAAATATAACGAGAGTTAGGGGTGTTCACTCATTCTACCTGATTAAGTGTATTATTCTTATCCGAATTCCACCAAAACAATCGGATAGGAAGTCGGGTGAATATATTTTTTTTAGTTATTAATTTTTGGATCATTTTAACAATTTAATTAAAAAATCTGCACCAATTAACTTACACAATAAACCAATAGCACTAAAAAAAAACACAATAAATTCGATAATATATAAACAATTACAACAAAAAAGTCATAAACATCAATACATCATATATAAGAAAGCCATAAAAATTAATAAAATAGTAGAATTTCTAGATTTTTAGATTTTAATTTTTAGGGATTAACATATATACATATTACATTTCTAAATATATGATAATCATTAGGTTTTATAGATTATATATGTGATAGATACGGAACCAGATTTCCAATTCACAAAAATATATCAAACAAAAAAAATATATTCAATGCAAAGATACTGATTTAAAAAAAAAAAAAAAAAAAGGGGAACAAAAATTATAGTTTTTGAAAAATTTAAGTATTATAAGATTGCAAATACACACACAAAGAACAATAATTTATTAAAAATATATTAATTCCAAACTCTCGTAAATTTTTATGACCACATAAAAGGACATACATGCAAATTCTAAACATATTTTATTTAACATAAAACTTCAGTCGCGAGAATCCAAGAAGATCACACTCTCATAATTGAAACTAATATTGGGTGGGTTTTTTTTTTTTTTGGGGGGGGGGGGGGCGGTTCAAACTTAATGTATGAAACTCATAAAATATATATATATATATATATTATGTTTATATGTTCTCGATTTGAGTTTTCAATGCATAAAAATATGTTCAAGTAAACAAGACAAAAAGAAGAAGATGCAAAAAGAATAGTTTTTGAACACATATTTGCTTAGTTGTATGATAAAGTAAACCTCGAGTTTCTTTTCTATTAGGAATTTTGTTTATGATTGAATGCTTACTAAATTTTTAACTAACTTCCTTTGTTATTTACAATGAAAGAGTCGATATGAAAATCATCATACATCTTATTGTGAAGTCTACTATTGAAATATTTAATATTTGAAAATGTTGGGGAATAGTCGGGGTGGGATAAGTATATGTATTAAGCTTTTTCTTTTTTGAGTCAAGGGATCTATCTATATTGGCAAATGGAAATCCTATGGACCCTGGAAGAAGCACAATATTTTACTCCAAAATACTACACTAAATCTAATTTTGAATTAAACAATGTGGCAACAAATGAAATGGCACAGAGCCCTCCTTATTTGACAGTATTTTAATAAGAAACATGGAAGTGGGCCAGACCCTAACAAATTGGGAGAATATTATTTTGAGAGAAAAATATTTTATATTGTGAAAATGGTTGACCATTCCATTCTCGAATGTGTTCTTTTGCGCTCAACAGTAGATATTGGCAACAGTGGGTTTTCATTATTTAATTGAATAAATCAAAACATTACTCTAGTATTAGTAGACAATGCTCGTGTAATTCTGACTAATGGATTGTGGAATTATCCAATGCGTTCTAATAGTCAGATGGAGTTGGTAGAGGAAGTTGTACTTTTCACTTTATCATTCACTCTATTAAGCATTATACACAGAGTTCAAAATAACACACAGAGCCTAGATCTCGCCGACACCCCTTATGTGAGGACAGTTCGATAATACTTGTCACGTTGCTAATGTACAATTTAAATGCATATCATTATTTATGTGAGTGGGTCACAGACAGGGTGTCGAACATGCATGTCTTACTCGTCTCTTTTAATTTTTGCTTGCAAAAAAAAAAAAAAAATACTGATAAAATAACCTTTTAGTCAAACATTAGAAAATTTCACCTAACAATCCACCACTCTATAAGAAACCATCCATTTGTCGCCCTCACTCCCAAGTTACAAACCTCTCTCTCTCTCCCAAGTTTCTTTTTGTTTCTCGGTTTTAAGCCTCAAGGAAGTCATTCCTTCCCCTCTCATTCTCAAGTTACAAATCTCTCTTGTCATTCCCGTATTACCATCCTTGGGAAATACACACAGGCTCTCAGTTTAGATCAGAAGTAACCTCTCTAGCTCTCAGGTATGAACTCTCTCTCTCTCTCTCTCTCTCTCTCTGTGACAATTTTTCTTTCTCTCTGATAACAGTTGTAATATATTTTCTAGCTCTAGCCTTTTTTGTCATACACAAACAGAACAGAATTGAAATCTTTCTCTATGACAAACAGATCACATGCTCATTCTCTGGTTTCCTTTTCCGTAATACGATAAGACATATATTTCCATTTGTCAGGTGAAAATGATGGCCATATTTTTCATTAGTCAAAGCATGATGACATAATCATTCATCTACTACCGACCATCTTTAACTTTTGATAAGTACGTCCCATATTCTATACTCTTTTGCATCACTTGTTGTGACGACAAACGTATTTGGATCGTTCCATTGCTTTTGATTGGCCAAAAACAAGAGCATCTTCTTCCTCTCTCTTTTTTTACCTTTGTTTGACAAATCTTAAGCTAGTATATTAAGTAAGAAGCCTTGAAACAAAGTAAAATGATTAAAGTTTGGACTAAATTTGCCTTCAAAGCTTATAATAATTAGTGCATGGGATTAACAATCTTTTCTAGTCTCCAACCATTTTCGCTCCGTGTCATGGTATAGTTGAAGAAAAAAAAATACTATACTAGGAAAAAAAATATAATTTCAATTTAGTCATTTAAAAATGATACAAATTTGGTTTAATCACCAAATAATTATTTTTGCTATTAAACTATACAATATGACTCCGATACCAAACTAAAATTAATCTCTAGATTTTTGGTTTATATATTTTTTTAAAAAAATATATTTTGATTCCTCGTTCAGATAACATGTGGATGATAAAAGCAAAAAGGAAAACAATACATTATTTAAACTTTTGATTTTGAGTGGTTCCCCGTTGATGTTTTGATTTTGTCAGATGTGATTAAGTCATGTCAAAGTCAAGATGACATGATCATTTTGTCCAAAAAGCTGTCACTTGTACGCAATGATCCACTATTATTTTTCTATTTGGCTTTTCAATGACGGATAACATTCTCTACCATTTACAACCATTGATTCAATGATGTTTATTAATTTGAGATCTTAAATTTGGGTCCTATAGTATTATTTTTATTTCTTATCAAATTTTACGTTTCAAGTGTATGACATAATTTTTATAATATTGATGTGACATATTTATTTAATGGTACACTTATATGTGTATCATTTTCTTGTCCTTATACATCATTAATATCTAGTTTAATATTACTTATTACATCTCTAATCTTTTGTTTCTTCATCAGTTAATTTACATGTACAATAATTCATATTGAACAACTTACAACAAAAACAAAATAATTTATCTAAATCTTTTGAATATATTAGTCATCTTCTATCAAGTGTTTTCCCATCCCCACTTATTAATTTGAGAATATAATGCGTAGTGGAAAAAGTCTAGAGAGCTCATCCCCAAGGAAAATCTAAATTATTATATCTAATTAGATCATTTTCTACTAATAAATCTCTTAATTTTGTATCAATATTTTTCCATTAAGTTGAATCATAAATATTTATATGATTATAATCACTTTCATTATCTTTTATTTCACTATTTTCTATTTCATTATCTTATACTTTATTATCTTTTATTTCAATATTTTCTATTTCAATATTTTTTATTTCATTATCTTCTATTTTATTATCTTTTATTTCACTATTTTATTTTTCAATATTTTCCATTTCATTGTCTTCTATTTTATTTTTTTTCTATTTCATTATCTACTTCTTCATTTTCAAAATTTTCATCTAAATTTTTTGTTACGTTTTTTTTGTTACTAGTAACAAATTTATCAAGAGATCATTTTTGAAATTCTATTAGTTGGTCCATTTTTCTTTTTTTTTTTAAATTTTTTTTTGTATCCACTTAGTTTTCTTCTAGGTGTTATATTTATTAATATATTGTAATTATATAACAACCAATATGCACGTGGTTATTGGCAACAGTGGAGTCCTTGAGAGTTCATTTACTGATTAGTTCGTTATGGCTATTGAAAGAGAGAATAAAATTCTTGGTGACTATAATTTATGCCATACGGGTCGTAGAAACAAATCCAATTATAAAGATTGTGTGACTTTCCCTTAACATTTTATATCAACCAGGTGAAAGTGAAACACCTTATTCCGACAGTTTGTTTTAAGATATGAAACCTATAAGTGACCTAAATACTATTCTAAAACAAAAGGCAAAGTTTGGACTGCACAATTTGGTATAACAGTTGCTATTCCACTGTTGAGGCCAAGGCCTATCTTTCGACTTTTTGTAGTGCGCCCAAAACCATGAGATAGATAAACAAAGTGGAATTTACAGACTCCGATGAGCAAAGGCTTGCATTTGGTATAACCGTTGCTAGTCAAAATTAGAAGTATATTGCTCAAGCTGCTTTCAATTTGTGAGAAAAATGATGTTATTTTTGTGTTGTGATCTAGTAGTTCAAAGACAATTGTTGCTCCCACTGCAAAATCTAGTTAAGGTTTATTCGAGTGTACAAGGAGGAGACAATCTTAGAAATGTTCCTATTTGTCTGTCATGTCTCACGTGTAATTCTGGCCATATTATTCTGTGATAGTTCAAATTGCAACAACAAGGACAAGAACATATATATTATGAGAACGAATTCTTTCCAATCATCCTATAAACAATTATTTACATGCAGTCAATCAACTTAAGTATATGTGAACGCTCATAGTCATTACCACCCCTGTATAAAGTCTCTGCAATTCAATTCTCTCTCCCACTTAACATATTAGTTCAGGAGGTCCCCCGTAGCACTGATCAGAATCTCTGTCCAAGTTTAAATTCTCTCTCTCTCTATGTGACAAGAAGTTTCTGTTTCACTACGATAAAATTTTATCAGTGTTGGTATAGTGGTATTACTACTACAACAACTACTATACTTTATCAAAGAAAACAAACCTCATTCTTTTTTTGCCTATTCCTTGGTGACAAATTGACTCTTGTTTTCGTCTTTTTTTTCTCTTTCTTTTTTTCGGTAGAAATGGAGCCCCAATTTGTTTGCATGGAAAAACAGCTCGCGGAGACGGATGTCAATCGCAACTTAGAAGTACGCAACCAGGCACGGTTTTTGCCAGAGGGAAATGGGATCATGCTTATAACTGACCGAGATAGAAAGACATATGAATTCGTAGCATCAAGAAGGAGAAGTGGGAGGCGTTCTCTGACGCGCCAGTGGATCGATTTTGCTGCATCAAAGGGTCTTCGAGCCGGTGAGTTCATAAGGATTAATTGGACAGGGCATGAGAATCACTATGAGGTGCAGGTGGGACTGCCAGCCAATGGAAAGCACAAATTTTGGGAAACCCTGTAAGTTTCAGTACTGGGTAAAATTCTGTGATAAGTTGGGTGGTTCTTAGATATAAAAAAAATGATGAAGGAAAAAGGTTGAATCTAATAAACGTGTGTATTTTAGTTCGAATCTCAGTCTTTTTATCTGTAATATTTGCCTTGTCATAAGGTACCTGTAATATCATAAGGTACCATTCTTATACCTTATTTTTTTTACTTTTTTAAGTTTAAAATTTTAAACCTTTTCTATTAATTAAAAAGAATTAAACTTAAGGCATCGTTATTTCTTTCCTCCCCGAAAGTGAGCCCTAGTCGCTCTCCTCTCTTTGTCGGAGCACATAGTTGCAGGCGGCGAACCCTACAGACACAGCCAAACATTTATCCTTCCCTCTTCATCTTCCCCGGAGTACACCACTGCCTCCCACTATCACATCACCTGCAATAAACGCCGTCAACATAAGAAAGAGAGATAAAGAGACTTCGGACACTGTCCACTCCGTCGGGGCGGTGGTGGCGTCGATTTCAACTGCTATAATCCGGACACTGTGCACTCCGGCGGAGAGACTTGGAGAGAATGAGAAACGTTAGGGCTTACGCAAGAGAAAGGGAAAATCCGATCTGATCAGCTGGGTTTTTTAAGAAGGCAAGGTCGGTGCCATGGCCGGTGACTATTTCGACTGTTGTGAAGGCTCCGGTCATGAGTACTCCATCTAAGGTGAATTAAAAAAAACAAAAAAAGCAAGGTGAAGATAAGAGGAGGAAGGCTAGGGTTAGGGAGGAAAGAAGAAAAATTGATCTCCTCCAAAAAAAAGGGAATGAAACACACTTTTCTAAAGAATACATGCAAAAGTCTTGCTGTTTTATGGAGAGTTTCTTTCTTATCAAAATGTTAATTTAAGTTAAAAAATTTACTTCATTTGTTGCCTCGATCAATCAAAATCACTGAATAGATAACAAGTCCTAATAACTATTGAGACTCACGTTGAAATTAAGAGAATAAGTTCTTTACTGGCAACCTATAAACCAATTGTTTACACCTCCAATCAAAATTTGACAATTACACAAATTTATTGAAAATCCTCAACATTTGTTTGTGTGTTTGTATAGTTATCATATTTTGATTGACTGTCTGTAAACAAATGGTATAAGTTGCCTGTAAAAAAAATTATTCTCTTAAATCAATAACAATAATTGATCAAGTCAATAAATCAAATTAACATTTTAAATTTATGTTGAATTGGGAGTGTTCGCATATTACCAAAAGTTGGAATGACACAAAAACTGAGTTATTGATAATAACACACATACTTTAGGTAAACTCAAAGTATAAATGAACAGTAAAAATAAGCCAGGATGGAAGACAAGAAAAGAAAATCATGCCCCACTAATGAAACGACATAAACAACTGTCTAATTCAACTCAAGAACACTAAAAATGTTATATGTATTCATCAGTATGGAAATCAACATGAAAAAAAGTTCAAAAATATATATTGTCAATTTGGCATACTAAGAAATAAAAGTTGTTGGAAAAAATTTTTACAAACTTGATAGCCACGATCTCAAACATGTCACCATGACTAGCTGAAAAAAATCAAAGTACCAACAAAATTAGCAAAATTTAAAGAAAAAGAACAAAAATTTAGTACAAATAGAGAAACAACAAGATAAACTTCTTCTCCAATCCTTACTATTGTCAAATAACTCAAATTGTGTTGAAAGTTTGGAGATAAGAGAATTTAAAAATCAATGTTGTTATTGTTGTAATTTACCACCCTAGAATTAAACGACAACAAATTAGACAAGATTAGATTAAAATCCAGACTGTTAAAATAACATTAGAATCAATCTAGATTGTTCTTCTGTTTTTTAACATGAAAAATTCAAAATAAGTTGTGTTTTATGATTATAGATGAGGAAGAACTTTTTATTTTTGTGAATAAAGGATAGGTACTGTACTGAATTATAATCTTTTAGCACTGAAAGGATGTCTGAAATACAAATGTTCAGCCAATTATAAGATTAGGTTAGATAAACTGTTAGAACCGACAAATATAATATATTTTTCAATAAAATTTATCACTTGACAAATATAGTATCGAAAAAGTGAAAAATAAAAAATAAAAAAATCTAGTATAGTGTATCTCATATACTACACCACCAAAGTGAAGTCCTGATAAGGATTTATCGGTCAGGGAATGGGAATCAATATGTGATGCAGGCAGGCCTGGAACTCCATGGACAGCACATAGTCTGGGGAACACTATAAGTTTCAGTAGTGTATAAAATTCTCAGATTGGGTGGTGCTTAGATATCAAAAACGAAGACGAACTTCATGAATGAGCATTTGGATGTTATGTAGATTTCAGTCTAATGCCGGAGATTAGTTTTTGTTTGTGTTTCTTGTGAAAAAGATGAATCCTATGAAGTGTATAGATTTTACTTGGAATTTGGGTTTGAGCCAGCATTGTTTTGGAAAGAGAAAATAATGCACCTTTTCCTTTGTTTGTTTAACTTGCTTTTTTTTTTTGGTTTGTCTAGCTAGAAACTACAATTTCTAGGGACAAATTAGATGCAAATACAGTCTTTCTATCTCCTTCACCAGTTTACTCTTAAGTCTGCCTGTAATAGTATAAGATCAGAAGGACATTTTAATAATCAGGTTGCTACAATTTGGAAATAGAAGGTGCCTCCAAGTGCACAGTTGATTGGTTGGAAGCTAATGCAGAAATCATTGCCTATGGACTCTATTTTTCAAACAATAGGAGTCTCACTAGCTAGTAGATGTGTCTTTTGTTATAAGGCTTGTGAATCGTCTTCCCATATCTTTTTCCAATGCAAGTATGCACAGGCAGTGTGGGAGGGAATCTCAACAAAATTTGGAATTCAATTAATTGCACAGGAGGAGCCTCTTGGTAGATTTATGAGGTCTGTTAGAATATATAGACATCCTTCAGTTTGTCATTTTTTAATTAGAGGCCTGCCTTTATTGATCTATTGGCAGCTTTGGAAGGAAAGGTGTAGAAGGTTTTTTGAAGGCCAAAAATCCAATTCTACTTCCCTATCTAAAATAGTTATGCATTTTTTAAGTCTGCAGACATTTATCACTAGACCAAAGGCATTGGATACTATTCAGGAAATGGATATGCTTAACAGCCTAAATGTGATTATCTCTAAGAGAGCTCAAATCAAGACTTGGTGGATTACTTAGGAATATCCAGTTGAAGGTTTTTTAAAGCTGAACATTGATGGGGCCTCTAAAGGTAACCCAGGTCTATCAGGTGGAGGTGTGATACTCAGGAATTCTAAAGGTCAGCTAGTCCTTGCAGGTTCTTACTACTATGGCTTCTGTACAAATATGGAAGCAGAGATGAGGGCGTTATGAGATGGTCTGTGTTTGTTACAGGACTATGGTTTGACAGATTACCCACTAGTCATTGAAACAGATTCAAAGGTGTTGATGGATATGGTCTTAAAGAGGAGCCAAGCATCATGGCATCTCTGGGATCTATTGGACAGGATACTCTCCCTTCTTCAGAGTTTTTCATTTCAAATCAAACATACTTTTAGAGAAGGTAATGCAGTTGCAGATTCATTGGCCAACAAAGGGGTGATTGAGGGTTATTCTCTAACCTATACTGCTGCAGATAATCTCCCAATGACAATCAAGCAACTTATATCACAGGATTCTAGACAAATACGGGTTCTAAGGAAGCGTCTAATGATTTTATGACATGCATATGGATTATTCATTTTCATTTAGGGGATTGGGATCTTTTCATAACTGAAGAATTTCTGCATTTTTTATCATCAACTATGAACCAGATACAGGCATTCAGAAGCATGGACATGGATCAGATACAGGCATTCAGAAGCATAGGCATTCAAGGTGGGGGAGTGTACAGATACCTGGAGGAATTTCTGACCATTGGCATCCCTCTCGTTTTTCGTCTTTAGAATGTGGGAGCTCTGTTCTGCTCCTCTGTTCTCAGGCTCAGGCTTAGATCATCATGGCACCGACTGCTGGAATCTTCTTTAGTCTCCAAAGCTAATTTGCAGGGCGTTGCATTTCGTATATCTTCCACTGCTAGGAATCCTTTGTATTGTTTATTGGATCTTTGAGCTGGATATTCATCTTCTACAAATTCTGGATTTTCATCTTCTCTCAGGGTTCTTTCTCTTTGAACGGCGCTTAATATGGCTGTTTTTTAGAATTCAGGCTCTTCATCTCTTCATCTCCTTCACTCGTTGGATTTGTAGAGCTTCTCTCTTGCAGGTGCAGAGACTTTGGATCAGAACGTTTCAACTTTTTTTTTTTTGAGGCCTCTGCATATCTCAAGAGTTTCTCCAAAACGTACTGCCTTATCAGTATGGTAACCTATCAATAGGACGGCTGATGTCTTCTCATAAAAAAATCTATCTCCTTCACCACCCTTGGAGAAGAAAAGAGAAAAATCCAATTTTGACCATTTTTCTAGCATTCATTTCTATTCATAGTTTTGTAATAACCCTTAAGGATAGTTCAACTGACAACACCGACAAGCTGTAAACTCAAATGTGTTGAGTTTAAATCTTGACAATCCATTGAAATTTGGTCATGAGAGATTTATCCCTCATAAATACTCTAGTACTGACATAAATGACCTGCATTTGACTGAACCGATGAAGAAATTAGTCAAAATACGTGTAAGTTGGACTGAATTCCTTTCACCGTTGAAAAAAATTTTGTAATAAAATGTTTAATCTATGGCAAGATTAGGTTGGAGTAACTAATAGAACTGGCTTATCACTGAATGATGGATGATGGAAGTCATAGAAGTCAAAGCATCAAATTTATTTGTTGTTATATTAACATATATCCAATTTATATCCTACCCATTTATAATCATATATAATTAAGTTAATTTCATGTTAAGTTTTTGTCTTTTATTAGCCGCGTTTAGCATGAGGTTACCCTTTTTTTTTCGGAAGTTAAACTGTATACATAAAAGAAAAATACAAGAACAAAACAAAGGAAGATGCTTACATGACAAAATGCATCCACCCATAACAAAAGAAGAACCAAAGAAATAAACAAATAAACCAAGAGTATGGAATTCTAAAGAAAGTGTCAACCTTCAGCTAGTACTTTCAGTAAAATCCTGACTCAATAGAAAACAGAGAAGACAAAAGGCTTCCCCTCAAAACAGAGAAAGATAGGCAGCATTCAAAGACTTCCAGAAGAATCCTGCATAGAGAGACAAGAAGGGAGGAAGAAGAACTATTGAAGGCAATCCAACAATCCCCAACAGTGAACAAGCTGCCTATTTACATTACAAAGCTTGAGCCATTTTGCTTCTAATGGCCATTTGAATAGCTTTGGAGACAGAATTAGAATCCTTGAAGAGATTTCTGAAGAGGTTACCTTGCGGTTAATTAGACTTGTTTGAATTTTCTTTTCTAAGGGTCCATTTGAACCCGCTAAAACTAAACCCAACTGTTAATTTTGTATCGATTACGTGTCCAATTTACGGATCATGTGAATAATTGTTTGATTTGCATGCCAACTTGCCCAGCTACAATGGACCATATTCAAAGTTTGAACCTTGTATTTTTTTGAACCTTTATATGTTGCTTTTGTTGCGAATTCTTGAAAAAAGTAGCCTTAAAATGTATCATATATATTTTAAAACATACTCTCCATTCGTTAGATAGAAAAGATCACTAAAATTTTGCAATTGTAAAAAAGTTCACCACCCCCGAATTATATTTCACCTTCATATTTTACCCTTAAATTAATTTTCGGTATAGTACAAGAGTGGCAATGTCTATTTTATCCGGTGATTTACTGTTTCCTGGAAAGGGTAGGTAACAACTCCTGTTCTTTCTTTAGGAAAGACAAAGACTTTTCTGTCTGCATCTAATTAGACCAGCAAACGCGTCATGCATGGGATATTCCTCTTATACGGATATAACTTGTCAAACAAGAAACCTTGTAACCTAGTGTGTATAATCACCAAATAAATGTAGTTATGATATTCAGCGTAATTATTATCAACAATGATGTGTATATCAAATAATTGGTAGATTATTGGTCTCCCGCCGTCTTGTGCCCATTTTAGTCAGACATTGCAGAAACTTTGGACTTTTTGTCAGTGTCCCCATGAGGATGGCGATCAAGGTCCTCCCCATCACTACCACGCAGTCACATCACTGTCTCCTTTCATTTTTTTTTATATATTTTTAACTAACCTATTTCTATAATGCAAAATTTGGATTTTTACCAAATAGAAAATCATAAGTTTTATCAAATTAGGTTAAGATTCTTTCAGAAATTGATCTAAATGTAATTATACATCACACTAATATATTGATTTAAATGTAAAATAAATTTGAATTTTTATTTTATCTTTAAATAAATATATGAGGACACTTATGACTTAAATCATAAAAACTTGGCATTGTGTACCCTTAAAGAAATCTACAAATTTAATGATTACCAATATATAATTCATAAAAATACATTAATAAAAAAAATTATAATTTTATCTTAGCACAATTTAATAAAGTTTATATTGTAATTTTATTTCAATAAGTTGTCATAAATGTCAATTTTTTAGTTGTGTATGACCTATCGAAATAAATTTTTACACAAAAAATTAGAATATTATCTATTTTTAATAAAAACAAAAAAACTAACTCATTGTGATCAATTTATCAAACAATTAATAATTTATAGTTCATTTTCATTGCATAATTATTCAAGTGCAACTAAATTTCAATTCAATTTTATCATATAATGAAAAATTTCAGCACAAAAACATTTAATAATCTAATAATTATAGCTCATTTTAAGACTAATTTTATCACATAAGCTGATCATTTTAGTTCAATTAAAAAATAGTGTCAATAAAAAAAAGTAAAAAAAATATGCATTTACTCAATACGTTTTCGCCACTAGACCACAACCATTTGTAGTATTCTTAGTGACGGATAAATTACACATACTTTAATTATTTCTTAAAATTTCCAATATATAACATTTTTTTGGAAAAACATGAGGTGAGGCTATGTCTCATTTTGATCATGCAGTGATTTTATCCATGTCACTAAGAACAGACAAATACATCAAAAGGAATTGAATTCATTATCGATAAAATATAATAAATTTGTCACACATAAACGTATAATTTCAATTAGACTTCTAGTATTTATGGAGCAATGAATCAGTCTTAAAGTAATCAATAAAACATATTGTCTAATTTCTTGAAAGATTATGGTGGTAGAAGTGGAAGGTGGAAGACATAACATGTAGCATATTTTGACGACAAGTATCAAATGACATATACTTTGATTTGAAACTGTATGTTTATTTAATTGTTTCAATATAATGATAAAAATATCATCACCATTATAAATTAAAATTGTCCACGTTAAGTGCACATGTGTACCAATGTGTCAATTGATAACTCTATATTAAAAAATATTGCTGATAAATGAAATTGTGTATTCACCCAATAATTGTATGCATTAATAAATCACTATTATAGGTTTAATGTAATCCATCTATACAAAAGAATGAAGCATTTACAGAAAATTAAAGTGAGATTCGAAAGATGACATAATAGAATCTTAAAAGAGGGCAACATAAAAAACTAAGTCTTGCATTTAAAAAGAATTGGCTATTTGACCTCTTAGCTAGTATAGTCTTTAGAGATTGAAGGATTGTTAATTAGACTAGACCATTCCCTTTAAACTTAGAAATGGGAGATTGCTGTGGTAAGTATGTATGAGTATGTGACTAATATATTTTTACCATATTTACAATTAAACTATATAATAGGACCTATAAATGACAAAAACAACATTTGAGGCTATTTCTCATAATATTTCAACACCAAACAATTGAACCTGGTGTAGAGGTTGATGCCATTGCTGATTCTTAAACTTGACTCACTTGTACTACATAAATATACTTTATTTGATAGTTGGGAATCTTGTTGGATTATTTTGATAATGTAGACGAAAAACAAATGATTTTTCTTATAAAAAAAAAATAGGGATACAAATATAGTTTACATCAAAAGTAATTGGTTGACTTTCAAATAATTTTTATTATGGTACCATATAAAACTATTATTTGTGGCTTGATTTATTTATAGACATAAGACTATATTATAAACAAGAAAAAGAAGATATTATTACAAATGACATNTTTTTTTTTTTTAATATGCCACGAATTGTTTAATTGAATTGGTTTTGATGTGTTTTGTTAGGAATTGAGTCATTGGAATCTCTGTAGAGAAAGAGATAATAACAAGAGACAAACGAGGAAGGTAGGAGTTTCGGAGAGAGAGAGAGAGATGGCCAGCGAGGGTAGGCGTGAGAGTCAAGGCTGAGGAGGGACAGTCAACTGAGAAAGAGACATTGGGCGGAAATCTAACATTTGGGAATTTAATAGGGTTAAATGCAAAAAGTTTTAATAGGGTTAAATGCAAAGAGTTTATCTGTACTTAGAACTATTTGCATATAATTTTCTGGTAATTTTAACTGTTGTATTATTTCTTTCTCAACTTAAAAATAAAGTGTCACACTGAATGAACGTTATAAGATTTATAAAAATGTCAAAATACTTTCATTAATCATTTAATTTTCATTCCAACACCTTTCTTCTACTTCTAGCCCTTCTCTTGCTCTTTACAAACCCTCTCTCCCTTCTTCGCTTGAACTCCCCCTCCTCACATTCATGATTGTTGTAATATTAGATGCATACAAAGACACCTAAATTAAACAATCCAAACCTTCTTCTCCCTCAAGCACTCCTCTCTCTCTCTCTAAAAAGTCTCTAAAAAGCAGAGGGAGAAACAATCCAAATCATTTATTTATTGTTTCTGCTTTTTTAGAGACAATCCAAACCTTCTTCTCCTCACCATGGGCAACCTGAGACATTTTGGGTCTAAAAAGCAGAAACAATGAATGAGACCTTTTATTTTTAATATTAATAATAATTTTATTTTTTTTAAATATAAAAATATTAATTAAATTTTTATATTCAAATTTTGTTACCATATTTAACCTTGATGGTAAGAGAGAAAAAAATAATTGAAAAATTATAATAGTAAGTTTAAATTTGATTCTTTTTAGCATTAAAACTATATTTTTTAGTAACTTTAGTTTTACTTTTAGTTTTTTTTTTAAAAAAAAAATAAATTTTAAGGCCTTTTAATTTTACGACTGAATTAATAGGTTTAATTTACTCAAGTTGAAATATTTTGTTTGGACATGAATTTAAATTTTTTGTTTGAATTAATATTACACACCTATAAATTATAGAGCCTTCCTTAAAGTAAAGTCTTAAATTTTTTTTGAGTGGCATTGTGTTTTTATAAGACCTTTTTGTAGGGTTTTAAAGTATTTATAGATTTAATTTTTTTTTTATTAACTATTTATTATATTAACTTTTTTTTTGGTAGGGTTCTAAAAATTTGAGGCTTTTTTAAAAGTTCAGCCTAAAACCAAGCTTTTTTAATAACACTTTTAAGCCGCCGTCTTCCTCACCGAAACCCACCCGCTAAAAACTCCCCCACCCCCAACCTCCTCTCTCTCTCTCTCTCTCTCTCTCTCACACACACACACACACACTAAAACCCAAACCCTGCAACTCTCATTTCCTCACCGAAACCTACCCCCTGCAACACTCCCTTTGACACATTTTATCTTCGCATGCATTTTTGAGCGCGTGATTCACACGCCCCGTTAAATTCATAACGCCCATCTATTTTCGCACTTTATTTTTAAGTTAAGGGGGGCTGAGTACAACTACTAAAATTACGAGAGGATTATGTACAAATGACCATAAGTATAAGGGAGTTTTTTGCATTTAACCCAATTTATTATTAGTCATTAGATAAAGGGTAAATCTCATTTTGCTCTTGAAAGATTCAAAAATTCTCAATTTGCCTCACGAATGATTAATTTTTTTTACATTGTTCATTCAAAAAAATAATAATGTTGTAATGTGATTCACCAACTTATTTTTATTTAGTTGTCCATTTATTNAAACGCGTCATGCATGGGATATTCCTCTTATACGGATATAACTTGTCAAACAAGAAACCTTGTAATCTAGTGTGTATAATCACCAAATAAATGTAGTTATGATATTCAGCGTAATTATTATCAACAATGATGTGTATATCAAATAATTGGTAGATTATTGGTCTCCCGCCGTCTTGTGCCCATTTTAGTCAGACATTCCAGAAACTTTGGACTTTTTGTCAGTGTCCCCATGAGGATGGCGACTAAGGTCCTCCCCCATCACTACCACGCAGTCAACAAAAGAAACTTTGGACTTTCTTTAGAATTACCATGATTATGGTTATGAATAATGGATATTGCTTCTCCACTTTGATTTTTTGGATGAATCTTTGAACAATTATGTTATATTTATCGAAAGAAATTTTGTGCTTTGCAGTGCTATTGATTTTTATAATTTTCTATATCCTTGTTTTTATTGTTTTTTTCTTTAAAGTTTAGGAATAATGGATGATCGTGAGAATTAAAGCTAAGGAGAGAGAATCAAGTGGGAAAGAGAGTGGGCGGGAATCTAAAATTTGGGAAGTTAATAATATTATTCATTAGATTAAGAGCAATATTATAAAATTTAAATGAAATTTAAAAAATTGTAACTCAAATACATATGATCTCTTGGATGAGTGGATCTTATCAATTTTTTTAGTGAGACCCACTCATCTCACACTCATTCAAAAAATGATATACATTTGAGTTCTAATTTTTGAGTTTTATTTAGATTATATAAAATTATTTTTTAAATCTTTTAAATTTGAAATTCCTTGTACTTATTATATAGATTCATCCTTGTATCAATGCTAACACGGTATGCCACGAATTGTTTTTTTTTTTTAATATGCCACGAATTGTTTAATTGAATTGGTTTTGATGTGTTTTGTTAGGAATTGAGTCATTGGAATCTCTGTAGAGAAAGAGATAATAACAAGAGACAAACGAGGAAGGTAGGATGTTAAATGCAAAGAATTTATCTGTACTTTGAACTATTTGTATATAATTTTCTGGTAATTTTAACTGTTGTATTATTTCTTTCTCAACTTAAAAATAAAGTGTCACACTGAATGAACGTTATAAGATTTATAAAAATGTCAAAATACTTTCATTAATCATTTAATTTTCATTCCAACACCTTTCTTCTACTTCTAGCCCTTCTCTTGCTCTTTACAAACCCTCTCTCCCTTCTTCGCTTGAACTCCCCCTCCTCACATTCATGATTGTTGTAATATTAGATGCATACAAAGACACCTAAATTAAACAATCCAAACCTTCTTCTCCCTCAAGCACTCCTCTAAAAAGTCTCTAAAAAGCAGAGGGAGAAACAATCCAAATCATTTATTTATTGTTTCTGCTTTTTTAGAGACAATCCAAACCTTCTTCTCCTCACCATGGGCAACCAGAGACATTTTGGGTCTAAAAAGCAGAAACAATGAATGAGACCTTTTATTTTTAATATTAATAATAATTTTAATTTTTTTAAATATAAAAATATTAATTAAATTTTTATATTCAAATTTTATTACCATATTTAACCTTGATGGTAAGAGAGAAAAAAATAATTGAAAAATTATAATAGTAAGTTTAAATTTGATTCTTTTTAGCGTTAAAACTATATTTTTTAGTAACTTTAGTTTTACTTTTAGTTTTTTTTTAATTTAAAAAATAAATTTTAAGGCCTTTTAATTTTACGACTGAATTAATAGGTTTAATTTACTCAAGTTGAAATATTTTGTTTGGACATGAATTTAAATTTTTTGTTTGAATTANTGGGGTTTGGTCAATTTCTTTCTTATACTCAAAAAACCTACACATAACTTCCCATAGTTTTGCACCAAAATAACTTCTAAAGACCAAATTATTGTTCATAGATGCGCAATACTCCATATTTAATCCTACTGTTCAATATGAACCTGAGCATTACCCGCATCATATTCACCATCCAGAGACTCTCCTAGAGGGCAACTGCTCGAATCCATCAAACTCATTATGTTTTTGTCTAAGTGGTAAACCCATTAGAGGAAGAATATGAGAGAGAGAGAGAGCAGCTCTACTTCCTCCGTCAGCCCCCTCTTCCCCAGCCCTCCGGCATTAGCAGCCTCCATCCAACCCTTCTCTATGCAACTACTTCCCAGCATCCAAGTTGTTTCTGATGCACATGATTGCTGTGTGTTGCTGTGAGAGCTTTGTGAGTGGTTTTGTTTGGACTTTGAAAGACAAATACAACAACTTGAATTCATGATTCCTTAATGATTGGTTCTAAGCTCTACCTCATATAAATCATGAAGCAAGCATAGAATCCAAAGTCATGCAACCAATTACCGCCAGTGAGGTGTATGTGCGACTCAGTTTGTGTGGGTATACGCATATACACGTACACACAAACATTGCACAAAAACATATATATGCACATGTTTGTGTTCTCGTGCACATGCTCTGTGTGTGATGTGTGTAACTGATTGGGACAGTGAAGAAAGAGAAATAGAAGTGGGGAAGCAGGAAGCAAATACCATTTGGTTACAAATATAACTCTGTTCAATTATGGAATAAGGATTTCTCTCATCCGAATTAAGAATGAAGGGTGTTTAGATAGAGGGTGAATTGAGTAAATTTGACACTTCTCATTAATTTGGATGAAAAATTGACGGTTTTAATTTGGTTCAAAACCATAAGGGTTATGAGTAGGTTTCCAAATCTAATGTTGGTATTGTGTCATCGGAACAAACCACATGGAGGTAATCCATAGTTACTCACTAATTAATGAGCTCATACAAACATGACTATAACCAAAAAGCCCACAAAACATGATTATGTAAAGCTATTCTCCCAAGCATCCACAAAATGCATTGTTCCAAACTTTTCGAGCATAATTTCTAGACTATTTCATAAACAGTTCTCCATTTAGATGTTGGAAGGCAGCATTTACAGCATGCCTCACATAACTGGCCAGCTGTTGGTAGGAATGCATCTAAAAGAGCAACTTTACGAGGCCGCTCTACTTACGAGGCCCAGGACAGCCTTCTAAGGCATTGGTAGAAAACATTACTAGACAAACTGAAAAGACTATAACATCTCCCAAGTGGCTTGGATAAAATTTCGATTACACCACATGATAAATTGAGCCTTTGAATAAAAAGTTGAGCCTTCACTCATAAACTTTTTGTTTCTTCTACTGTTCCCCTATAAAATGCTTTTAGAAAGAAATGCTCTCATACGCTTTGGAGGTTAACCAATTTCAACAACATGCCAGGGTATTTCATAGAAAGTCATGTACCATCATTTTAAGAATTGATCCTAATCCTACAATGCCGGCATTGCCTATTTGGTCGAACTATATACAATCACCACCACCACCACCTTCACCCAAAAAAAAACAAAGTGAAAAGGGAAAAGAAAAAAAAAGCAGATAAAAAAAATAAAACAAAATCAATGATAATACCTCATCAAGGGTCAGAGTCTCATGATCAACCAAATTATCTGGAAGTACAACCTTGTGGGCTTGAGAGACATAAGCAATAACCTGAGACATTACAAACATTTCTATGTAGAATGATAATAATTCATAAGATCCGGCCAAATATCTTTATAGATATAACTTTTTTCTGTACAATAATTCCTGATTATAATAACAGCCATGAAAGGTAGTCAGTGATAATTAGTTGTGACCACACTAGCTCGGATCTGACAACAGGCATGCCTGATAAAGATGTTTCTAAAATCTTTTCACCTGATAGGTGCGTGAAAGAAAAACCTTTTGAAAAAGAGAACTCCAGTGAAAACTTGTAGGTCCCATCTAATTATTCATTCAACTGGGAGAACCAAGTAACCAGCATTATAAGTAAGCTAATTCAAACTTTACAATTCCACCCATATGGGCAATGAAAGGTGTGTAAACTGCAGGATTAGGTGAAGATTTTATAAGTGATTATGCAAACTCGTCTACAATTTTCCTCCAATAACTAACATGTTAAGTAGTATGATTTATTTATTATTGTATACTTATGGGTGTATTAGTCTTTTCAAGTTTATCATGACAACTATAGATATGAATTGAGAGTGTGAGATAGGGTTAATGTTTGTCATAAATCTCACTTAGTTTTCTCTTGAATTCTTCTCTTTCTATTCCAAACTTTACATGGTATCAGAGCAGATCCTTATGGATAGAATCTGGTAACTTTCTTGGCCCCTTTCTTTAATTTTATGTTCTTCTTTCTGCCCTCCCTACCTTCGTTTCCTCTCTTTCTTTTGGAACTCTATCAGTCTCTGTTTATTTTGTTCATTGACTATGTGGTTCCATTAGGCACCGCCCCCCCCAAAAAAAAATGACTATCTTGACCTTGATGAACACTAGTCATGAAGTCACTGTATTCTTCATCTGATGATTTAATTGTGACCCTATGATTGCGGTATCGTTGAAGCTGTGAAGGGTTGAGATTTTTGTGGTTGTAGTTGAACGGTTGTGCGTTGTCATCAGAATCGAAGTGTGCTTGGACATTGTGCGATTGGATTGGTTGAAGTTTTCATGTTTTTAATAGCAATCGGAGTGTTATTATCGTTTAGTTTGTTGTGATGGACATCCAATTGAAGTTTTATCCGGGTCAGTTTGTCTCCCGTTCAACCCACTTAGCTAGATTCCACACCGGGTCAGCTCACTCAAGTTGATTCCGCACTAGTTCAGCCTTATTTGGTTCAGGTGGGTAGCTGGTCAACCCAGTTATTGATCCAGTTCACTTTCAAAATTCTCCCCGGTCAGTTTTTGGTCCAGTTTAATGGTTTCTCTTCATCTTTTCTCTGGAGCAGCCTTGATTATGCATTCATTTAGCATCTGGGGGCTGTCTACTGCCCGATTCACAAACCTTTTCATCAGTACTTTCCACTGATTCAAGCCTCTACAGTCTAGTTCAACCACAAACATTAAGGTTGTTTCCTTACGGATCTGCCCCTGTTTGGCCCTGTTTCAGTCCTTTACGGTTAATTTCTTGATAGTGCAGCTTGGTTTATTGGTTCTTCAGTTTGGCTCTTGCAAGTTTGAAGTTATTGATTCCCCTTTTTGTTGAAATGTCTCAACCTGTTGATACTGAGTGGATCACTATCTCCCGTGATGAATATGCTCAACTCCTATCTCAGCCACACACAATTCCCTCTTTCTCTACTGCTACTTTTGTCTGATCAGGTAGTGTTTCTACATGGTTAATGTCTTATACAAGCAATTCATAGATTATAGACTCTCACGCATCTGATCACATGACTGGTTCGTCTGGCATCGACCACACTCAACTAAGCCCCACTATATGTTTATCCTCTGTTTTATTTGTTCCTCAATTGTTTTTTAGTTTGATATCAATTAGCAAGAATACTTAAGTCTTTTAATTGTTTTGTTACCTTTTATCCTTCATTTTGTGTGTTTCAGTATCTAAAGACGAAAAGAAAGATAAGAACGGGGCATGAAGCATCTCCCAAAGCCTTTCAATTATCACTATCTCCGTTTCAATGGCATTGTGTCTTGGTCACCCATTTCTTTTAGTGTTAAAGCTTCAAGTTTCTAGTCTCAATTTTGTGCCCTCTCTATTTTGTGAAACTTGTCAGTTTAGTAAGCATCGTGTGTCTTTTCAGCCATGGATCAATAATCGTGTTACTGGTCCCTTTGAATTAATTCATTCAGATGTATAGGGTCCATTAAATAATATTCCTTCCAACAAATTTTCACATTTTGTGACATTTGTGGACGATTATTCTCACATGACAAGGTTTATTTTTATGAAAGTTCGCTCTGAATTATTTTTCATCCTCTATATTTGTCGTAAAGAAATCAAAACTCAATTTAGTTGTCGAATTTGAATGCTAAAGAATATTCCTCATATAAAACTTCTTGTGTTCATACCCCACAACAAAATGGGGTGGCAAAATGTAAATATCGTCATTTGTTGAACGTAACACGTGTACTTCTTTTTCATAAGAATGTTCCTAAACATTTTTGGAGTCATGCTATTCTCATCTTATCAATCGTATGTCTTCATCTATGATACATGGTCAATGTCCAAATCTTGTTCTTTTACCACACTCTCACTTATTTCATGTACCTCCTAAGGTATTTGGATGCATTTGCTATATTCACAATTTGGGTCCTGATTTTAATAAATTTGATACACGTGTCATAAAGTGTGTTCCTCGACTATTCACATACTCAAAAAGCATATCGATGTTATAGTCTTGTGCTTCGCTACTACTTTACCAGTACCGATGTCACGTTTTGCGAGTCCACACCATATTTCCCAACACCCACGTCTCCTCTTGACCTCAACTTTGGGATCACTCCATCACCAGCTCCCCTTTTTCAGTCCCATTTATTAATTTTTCATCCTTATCACCTCTTCCAGCCTCAACATCAGCATCTTTTGTAGCCCTACTGCTATGCCCCATACGTCTTCTTTGTTGTCCTCTAATCCGAGTTTCTCGTTGTTTCAGACTACCAATCTTGTGTTACTAAACATCCTCTTAGTAAGTTTTTTTCTCCTACTTTCTTTTGTTTTATATCTCAACTATCCACTATCTCGGTTCCTAAGACCTTACACGAAGAATTATCTGATCCGAGTTGGAGGATCGCAATGAAGATGAAGATAGATGTCTTACATCACGATGGGACTTCGAATCTTGTTCATTTACCTCGTGGTAAACACCCTGTTGTTGCCAAAGGCCTTATTTAAATCTATGGCATTGACTATGATGAGACTTTTTCCCCTGTTGCTAAAATTTCCTCTATTCGAGTGTTGATTTATTTGACTACTAACCTTAATTAGCCTTGGTTTCAGTTGGATGTTAAGAATGTTATTTTGTATAATGACTTGACAGAGGAGGTTTATATGAAGCAACCAATGTTATGAAAGTTGCATCTAGGAGAGAAGCAAAGCAAGGCAACCCTATGTCACCTTGAACATGACAGGTTAAACAACTGTTGGCAAGGCGAAGAAAAAGTGAGGATAGACAAAGAATCAAAGAAGCAAAAAAAGTAAAGAAGTGATCGTGTGAGTGAACTTTTTTAATTTTGTCTTAAACTGTTACAGGTCATTGGGTTGATGCAATTGGATCAAAAATTAGATATGTCAACAATAGCCAATTAAGCCTCATCTATATTTATGTAACCTAACCCTAATCACCAAATTGACTTGAGCAACCAACAGGAAGCCACTACCATCGTTCACAAGAAGGTATGACTATTCTCTTCTTCTTCTGATCTTGCATCAAACTAACGAGGGAAAAGTGGCTTTTACAACACTCACCAGGGAAGCCCACTATAGCAAACTACTCCTACCCTTGCATCATCAGACTGAGAAAAACGTCAAAGGTATGTCCTCTGATTTTTATTCTCTCCTCCTTCTGATTCTCCTCCTCTTTTACTTCTTCCCCTTTTCGTTTGATTTCATAGTTTTGTTGGAACCTCCTCCTTTTCTAATTTGTTTCTTTTTTACTGATTATCTAATTCTTCTTTTCTTCTACTTATTCCCCTCTTCTTCTTCTGATTCTGGAACTCTATTGATGTGATGCTGATTCGTTGGAACCTCCTCCTCCTTTTCTACTCTTTTTCTGTTATTTTTTTTTGATGCTGAAACTGTTTCTCCCCCTATGTTTCTGCTATGTTCTATTTTTGCTAGTTTTATGCTTTGTTATGTTGTGTTATGCACCTGTGCAGTTATACTTAGACTGATTTTCTACTTTGTTATGATGATTTTCTAATTTGTTATGCTGGTTTTTTATACTTGTTGCTTAGAATTATCATGCTATGTTTGTTTTTAGACTATTCTTGTTTGATTCTGTTGCTTTGTTATGTTGTGTTTGATTATGCTATTAGATTGCTCCTATTTGATTTATTTGGTTAGATGATTAAATGTTGAATTACATTATTTAGTCGATATTGTGATTAATCTATTTAATAAATGTCGATATTGATATATTATTAGTGTTTGTATGAATTTAAATGTTTATGGTTTTGGTTACATTTAAATATTTAGTATTTGTAAAGTTATAACTTGGATATTTAGAAGTAATTAAACTAAAATATTTGCTTCTATTTTACTACTTCGATGAAGTGCTCACTTCGTCTCTCGCCTAGGCCTCAAGAGACTTGTTTGCTTCGGTTTACTTTACGCATTAAATAACACTAGGAGCAACCACCGGGATTTATTGCTCAGGGAGAGTATCGTGGTAGTGTGAGTCGATCAAAGAAGTTTTTGTATGATCTGAAACAGTCACCGAGAGCGTGGTTTAATAAGTATTCAGAAGCAATGTTCGAGTTTGGTCTCTCCAGATATCAGACAGATTACTTTGTATTCCATTGACACACTGGTGCGTGTTATATTATACTCGCTGTTTATATAGATGATATTGTCATTATTGGGAATGATCTTGAGGGTATTGCAAACCTAAAAGTCTTTCTACAACATCAATTTCATACTAAAGACTAAGGTCAACTTAGGTACTTTTTAGGTATCAAAGTAGCTAGATCTAAGCAGGGTATTAGGTTGTCTTAGAAAAAAAAATGTACTTGATATGCTAGAAGAAACAAGTTTACTTGGTAGCAGACCAGTTGATGTTCCTATGGATCCAAATTAGAAACTTTTGGTGGATGATGGTGCGCTATTTGAAAATCCAAGCAGGCATTGCAAGTTAGTTGGAAAATTGAATTATCTCAGTATTATTCAGCCAGATATTACATACAAGTGTTGTGAGTCAGTTCATGGGAGCACCTAGAGTTCCACATTGCGATGTTGTTACTCGTAATCTCCGATATTCGAAGCGGGCTCTTAGACTTGGATTGTTGTATCGATCCAATGAACATATTAGATTTGAAGTTTTTACACATGCGGATTGGGTTGGATCTCCCTCTGATCAAAGGTGGACTACTGGGTATTGTACTTTCTTGGGGGTAATTTTGGTTTCGTAGAAGAGTAAGAAACAATCTGTAATAGCACGATCCAGTGCAAAAGCTGAGTATAGGTCACACTGCTAGGAAGTTAACATGGTTACAACACTTTATACACGAGATTGGCTTTCAAGTTCAGAGAGTTGTTCAATTGTTTTGTGATAATCAAGCAGCACTTCACATAGCTGCTAACTCAGTGTTTCATGAGATGACGAAACATATCGAAGTTGATTGTCACTTTGTTCGGGATTAGATACTAAGTGGGAACATTTTCTAAGGATCAACTTGCAGATATGTTCACCAAGATTTTAAGTTGGAATGATTTTACAAGAATTTGTTTTACGCTTGGATTATATGATATTACGGGTGAGGTGGAGGATTTGCATGAGCCGACTTTAGACCACTGTCCGGACGCCCCTCCACCGTCCAAATGGTGGAGCCTTGCAGGATCATGATCTTCTTGAGGGGGAGTATTAGGCAGTATGATTTATTTATTATTGAAATAAGCATACCCCTTATGGGTATATTAGTCTTTTCTAGTTTATCATGATAACTCTATATATGAATTGAGAGTGAGCTAGGGTTAATGTTTTTCCTACATCTCACTTAGTTTTCTCTTGAATTCTTCTCTTTCTATTCCAAACTTTTAAATAAAAAATTGAAAAGGGGCAGCCACATCCCAATGAAGAAACAATTCTGTCTGTGAAGAAAAATATTGCTAGTCTACTCATGTGCATGCAACACCTTAGCACAACATTTAATAAGGCTCAACCGCCATCCCACAGCCAAATGACGCACCTCAGTTCTTGAAAATTGCTTGAGAATTTTCTTAGCAACAGCTCCAGCTGCAACTCTGCCGATTGTTTCCCTAGCAGAAGATCTACCACCACCCTACATTCAGTCGATAGCATGACATAACCAGCATTTAGTTCGCAATTAGCATAAAGATGGATCCAGATTCCATGCAGTGCCATCATAATAGCATGACTCTAAAAAATGTTACCTGTACTGATCTCACACCATATTTAAAGTCATAAGTGGCATCTGCATGAGAAGGCCTGTAAGCTAGTGACATCTCACTATAATCCTGGAATCCAATGATATGAATGTTAACCTTACGAGCATTTTAACAGCAAAGCACTTGTAACAATAATTTTATATCAAAACCCCAAAAATATTGGCATTTCCACAAATAGTTGCTTCCCACATGCAACAGTATCTCACTCATCAAACATTATAAGCACACTTGCAAATATTGTGGAAGCAAAACGTTTCCATTTCATCCACTATATGAAGGCCCAGTTTCAACGCCTTGAATGGAGACACTACGAGAGGATGCCATCACCAATAGATGCCCAACTCTTAAAAGCTGGTCCTAATTGGTGTACACATGTATACAGAATGTCCAAGAAAAGCAAATCTGTTATTGCTTCCCAAAACAGTGATCTCCCTAATTTAAGACTTCCAATTCATATCCAACATCATATAAAAACATAGAATTAGATACTCACATGTCCCCTCTGATCTGTGTTGGGCACTTTTACCATGATTGGAGATCCAGTAGTCACCCCTACAATCAATGCACGTCAGTCCATTTCCACAAGAGCATCAAGCACCGGTTTTCAGTTTCAGAAACACTGGAAAAATGAAGAATGATGAAGAGAAATATCACACCAAAATGTTACCTTCAGCAACACCCGAATATATTCGGCATGTGTCAGTCTCTTTTCTAGGTGTAGTAATTCGGCTCTGTCCAGGCCTCCTAGATACAATAACTTTACTTGTCACTCCATCAAGAATATTTTGCATAAGAACCGATTAGAACTCAACATCTATCTAAGACACTCCTTTAGTTGCAAGTATACTACGCCAACGCATGGCAAGAGAGAGATCTTGCCCCCAACTACTTGTTTCAAATGTTAACAGCGTATTTTAGATGAATCTTACCAAGGAAGCATAGACAGTCTTAAATAAAATACCATCTCTATGCTCAAATGAAAACGCAAAAAACCAATTATGGAATACCTTCTGTCAAGGTCTAGTTGCATATCAGCTTCTGATAGGGGAAGTCGAGGGGGACATCCATCAATCACACAACCAACGCCACCACCATGAGATTCTCCATATGTCGTAACCCGAAAGTACGTTCCATATGTACTCCCAACAGCCTGTATCTCTGTTAAATTTGAATATGTCAAAATTTGGAGTTGAAATATAGATTTTATCACAGCAATTTAAGTTAGAAATGCAAGTAGAAGCATTTAAAGCTTTTGTTCTGCAGGATGAGAGACAGATTTTCCAAATAATACATAGAAAATGTATATTGTCTAGCAAACTCTTTAAGTATGGATTGATCCTTGAGACATCAGTGAGAGTATGAAGTCATCCAGATTTCTAACCAAAGCCCAACTTACACAAGAATTAATGCTTCACGCATAAATTCTCAAGTGAAAGTCAGTGCCAGATGTGGACCCTCAATGTTGGAACAGCTTCCAAAACATTTAATTGCCAGAAAAGAAAATTAGGTCAGAGTAGTTGCATTCAGCATTCATCCGAATATACAATTTTTTTATCCCTAGATCAGTTTCACTAAAAGATGCACAAACAGTCCCATTTGGAGATATAATGCTAGTAGATCAAATGAAGTGAAGAGAAATTCTGCTAATGAAGGAAAAGGCAAGTTAATCTTTCACATGAGGCAGAGTAGTTGCATTCAGTACTAAAAAAAGGGTTAATAACACTTTTGGTCCCTAATCTATGTACTTTTTGTCAGTTTAGTTCTCATTGTATCAATTTTATCAATTTGGTCCCTAAAATATTCAATCCGTGTCACTTTGATCCCTAATCAGACAATCCGTTAAATTTTTTAACGAAAGTGACCACGTATCATTTTTTAAACGGTATCACATGATCATTCCGTATATGTAGGGACCAAAATAACACAAATTGAGTACTTTAGAGACCAAATTGACAAAATTAATACAATAAAGACTAAACTGACGAAAAAATTCCCTACCCCTAGGTCAAGTAGACTATAAATTACACAACACGCCCCTTTTGGATATAGAATGCCAACTGAACAAATAAAGTGAATATAAATTTTGCTAATGCAGGAGAACAAGTTAGATTCCTGTAGCTGATCCCAATTAGTTAAAATAAATGTTTTGTTGAGTAGAGCTGACGAGAAAGCTGATGTTTCACAGGAGTTAACACCTTGAATATGGAAAGTGAAATTCAAGCATAAATTGAAAGGTAAACAAATTGGTAATTAGTAATGGTGAAAATAACATAATGTACTTAAAGAGAAGAAAATCAAGAAAACTATACTAAGAAGAAACAGCTGAATCGAATTGGTATTTACACACAAATCGGGGAGAAGGGGGGCAGAGAGAGAGAGAGAGAGAGAGAACGATGCCTAAAACCACCACTCTCAACAATAGTAAATATTCCTGTCAAAATAATATCTGCATATGGTTCACGGCGCGTGTAGATGAATTGGTCGCAATGATTCTTTCCACTACAGGCCACAAAACATTTACAGATCACAAGCTACAACTACTGCTAATTCGTTTATGGCTATATTATCTCGGAAATTAAACAGAACTATAACGATTAGAACAGAATATAAAAAACAAGGAACAATCAGAAGCTCACCAAGTTTTTGGGGATGTGATCGGAGAGTGGAGACTCGAAGAACCGGAGACGAGAGCTTCCGGATTTCCGACGGTTGTAAAAATCCGAAACGAGAGGGTCCGTCCAAAGATGCAGCCCCTAGAAACGATTTCGTGTAGAGAGACGAAGCCATTCTTCGTCGTCTGACCTCAAAAATATGCAGTAGATATGCCTAATTGTGAGAGAGAGAGAGAGAGAGAGAGAGAGAGGCTTTATGGGAAGAAAGGGGGTTGGTGAGAAAAGTGTGCGTGTAGTGGTCGTGTTTGGTAAACATCGATCTACATAGAACCGCGCCACCTACCTCTCGTTTTGTGGTGTAAAATTTTGGGTCTAACAGTGATATACCACTTTATTTATTGTTGACGAGAGTTATTACTATTTAATAATAAATTTGTATATAGATGAAGTGAATTTCACTTATATTAGATGTGAAATTCATTTATTTATTTATTTTATTTTTATTAGATAATAACGTGACAATAATAATATCACGTGACAATAATAACATAATGTAATTACTGTACTCTATTTTTCCTCAATATTAGTTGGTGATTTTTATTTTTTATTTTTAAATTGGGGTAGGTCGAGCCAGACTAAGCCAGCAAATCCATGTCCATGTGCAAATATATATCAATTCATTGAAATGCTCAACTTATATCAATTTTTTGTCTCTCAAATCAATTTGAAGTAAAAAAAAGATATTAAATTTAATAGACTATATTATCCTTTGATTTTCATATCTCACATCAAAGATGTTAATACGACGAATCAAATTCACTACCAAATTTTATTTTTTCACCCGAACCAATTTCTATTTTTAATTCTCCAAATTCACATACATGTCTTTCACAATTTCCATTTTTTAAATCCCACAATCACTAATTATCTCGTGCATTTTCTATCTACCCCTTCTCTCTAAATTCTCTCTCTTTATTTATATGTTGTAATTTCTTTTAAATTATTGAAAGTGAGTTAAAGTAATTAATTAAAATAAAAAAAATGATTAAAGTAAATTTATAAAAATGATTCTTTAAAATAAATAATATAATATTTAAACATATTTTAATTTTAAATAACTAAAATGGAGTGTTGAAGTAGAGCTGTTCTTATCTCTTTTTTCTCATCCCTCCCCAGTCTCGAGTAATCTCCTTCACTCCCTCACCTTTATCTTCTCTCTTCTCACTCACAACAGAACACCACCATCTTCACTGGAAAATCAATAGCCACACAAAGCCACAACTCACATATCCATCAANCTCTGGAAAATCAATAACCACACAAAGCCACAACTCACATCGCCATCAATTCCAAGTATGTCTCTATGTTTCTCCACCCTTTTCTCTCTCACTCAACTGTAAAACCACCACCCCACAACCCTAACCCACAGGCCCCAACCACCTTCATCCCCTCTCTCTCTCTCCCTTTCCCTCTCTTTGCTCCTCCTATAACCTCCTTTCTCTCTCACACTATCTCTTTTACTCTACCCATCCCACCATAAACCCACTCGCTAGAGCATGACAAATTCTACGAAGCCCTCCAATAGTGAGTTATTCCTACAATTCCTACGCACATAACACACACGGGACTAGATTTGGTGAAACCAGATTCAACACACACAATCACACATTTGCACAGTAATCGAGGGTTTCAGAACGGGGCACACGAAAGTTGCATTTTTTGTTTGATTAGTTGAATTTACGGGGCCTGGGATCCTTCGAAAATGAGAGAGATTTGTGTGTGATGTTGATTATTTTGGATCTATATTTTTCGTAGTTGTTTGTGCTAGATTCTTCTTTTTTTAAAGAATTTTTTTTTCGTATAACTGCTTCCTTGCATGTGTTGAAATTACTCTAATATTATTACAATAAAAAAATCTCTCTTGGCAAGAGATTTGTTGAATTTTTTTTTTGGAATTTGATATTTATAATGCTTTGGAGATTTGTTATGTTTTAAAGATTTGTATTTGTGTTTGGAATATTTGTAATGTTTTGAAAATTTGTATTTGTTTTGGGATATTTGTAATATTTGGAAGATTTGTATCTATTTTGGGAAATTTATAATAATTTCTAATGTTTTTAATGTCTTTTTTTTTTTGTAAAGTAGGTCTAAATTTTCTTTTTTTTGTTGGGTTGTGTTTACCTGAACACGACATTTGTAAATCTCGTGTCACGACACATGTCGAGTTAATCTAATTTCGAATTAGGTCGTGTTCGTGTTCAAATGACCTAACCTGATTAATTCGCAGGTCCTCTTGGAGTTGATATGTCTTCAGCCCGAACTCGATATAACACGACATACACACGACACGAAATGACACGATTCTCACCCTTAAAAATTACTAAACATCCTTTTTTTTCCCACTAATTACCCACTATCTATTTAAACTTCTTCAAGAAGTTACTTTTACTATTCAATAACATTTAATATTTTTTTATCTAACTTTTGAAGTATAATAATGAGAAAGGAAAAGTGATTAAAAAAATATCAAAAATATAAAAACAAATATTTTTTGGATGAAAGGGTTTGAGAAGTCTTCTTCTGCCAAATGCTTAATTTTTAATTTTTGAAATATTTAATTATCTAATTCTAATCAAATTGTTCCATTTGACTTATTTAAATATTTCCTCCATTTTTTTATAACTACGCCCATCATCTATTTAAATTATTTCAAATTTAAATTTTTACCCACATTTGTTTTTACTTTTTCACGTTTAATAAAAATTATTTAATTCATTAATGGATAATTTTTTAATAATATAAGAATTAGAAAATGGTAAAACAGGGTTCTTATCTAATTTTTTTAATAATATAAGAATTAATAACAATTTTTTCACCAGATACTTACAACTATAATACAGATTCTAAATACTCAAAATCACTATAAACATTGGACATTGGGGTAAATGAAACTAAACCTCTTCAATATAAATGACACAGAAAACATAATAACCCTTCCGTCTTCCCATCTCGGTCAACATACTTGAATACTTTTTTTGTCCATCCTTAACCACATATATTTTATCATAGATTTTAAATTTGGTCAGGAGATCAACCCGACTAAGGTACTGAGTCAACAGATCACAGGTTCAACCGTTAAGTTATTGGTCAGACTGGTTATATAATAAAAAAATAAAAATTATTGTTAATGCTAATAAATATCCCAAAAAATATAATAATTATAAAAATAATATGTTTAGTGTATGCAAAATTGCATACATTAAACATGATTGATGAAAAATAGGTCAAAAATTTTCAAATTCTTCCATGAACCTCAAATAGTTAATTTTCTATGTACCCATTGATGAGAATCGTGTAGGAATTGGATAGATATTATAGATTAATTATGATAGTTATTTAGATACTTTTAATACTTAACTTTTAAGTAATTTCTTTTAACTTTTAAGGGTTTAATTGTCATTTTGATTATTTATTTATTTTAGGGTTTGTGATCTTCTTATATATATAGGGGATACATATTTGTTGAGAGACTAAACTTTGATTATTGATTATTGATATTGAATCTTCTTCCTAAAATTCTCTCTCTATTCTCATCCCCTTCTTCTTCTTCTTTTCTCATCCATTTCTTCTTCTCTTCTCATCCTTAATTCTTCACTAATACGATTGACATTAATTTGGTATCAGAGCTATTACGATCTACATCAATTTGGTATCAGAGCCCAACTTTGATTCGAAAAAAAAAAAAAATTTTAAAAAAATGAAGTTACTGTTCACCGGGTGCACTGTTCATCCGTGTACTGTTTATCAAAAAAAATACTGTTCATCCAAAAACGTTGTTCATCAATAAAAGATAAAAAAAAAAAAAGAGGAAACAAATTTTTTTTTTTATCATATTTGGTCATTGTAACAGTAACCTGGTGGGTTAAGTTTTGAACCAAAGTTCCCAGCAGATTTAGCAAATTAGAGAAACATCTCCATAAGTCCCAAAAATTGCAAACACATCCCAAGAGGTCTTCAAAAATTACAGAAATACCCCAAAAAATTTCAGAAGTTACAGAACCACAACCAGAAAAATTTCAGAAATAACAGAATCACCACTAGAAGTTTCAAAAATTATAGAATCTTCCCCCCAGAAGTTTCAGAATTACAAAAAAAATCCCAACAGATCCATAAAATTGCAGAATCATTCTCAAAAAGTTTCAGAATTTCCTCTTGATTATGGTATGCATACTCCTATAGAAATTTGAAACTGATATTTTTATTCATTGAAAAATTAAAAAAACCTGCAAAGGATCCAAATTATTTATCAATTACATTCTTGAACTTGTTTTGACATCATTTCCTTGTTCCAAGAGTCACTCATGAGTTTCTCTAATATGCATGTTTCAAGAATCTCTCATCAATGTCATTATCATAGAAAGTCAAATAATGTTTACATGGAGTCAACCCATATGACCAAACGAATCAAAGATCCTTCTACATTTTGTGGTACTCCGGATCTCAATCAATTATTGGATTGGTTAGCTAATTTAGAAGAATATTTTGATTGGCATGGCATGTCGGATTCCCATTGCGTCCGTTTTACTAAATTAATGTTGGAGGGTTCCGCCAAGAAGTATTGACAAATAATCCAAAGAAGCCTAGACCTCTTAGGAGAATCACCTATCACTTGGGTTGAAATGAGATATAAATTGAAAGAGAAGTATTTGCCTACTTCCTATATGGATCAAGTTTATGACCAATGACTCAATCTTAGGCAACATTCTTCTAGTGTCTTTGATTACTTTTGCCCAGTTTGATTATCTTATGTACTTGTGTGACATTGTTGAAGAACTTTAGACAATTGATCAATTTATTTTTGGGTTGAGACAAAAAATTAGTAGGGAAGTTAACAATACACTTTTAATACGTTAGTTGCAGCCTATCAATATGCTTTAAAGGTTGAGAGATTTCATAAGAAATCCAACTATACCTTGATGAGTTCTCAATCACAGCCTACTGATAGGACATCTTCCAATTTTAATTCCATCACATATATATGAGTATTATGATTGCTTAAACGATGTCCATGTTGTTTCTACATGCTTTCCTAATTCGAATGTGACAAAGAATTTAAATATTTTAGTGTCAGATAAAGGGAAAAATGTTACTCATATGGACTTTCAACTCCCTCAT